CGAATTCCTAAACTTCGGGATTTGTTGAGAATTTGATTTTCCAAGAACTTGACTTGTTGACACTTGAATTTCGGAACTTGGATTTGGACTTTGAAACTTGGTCTGGATCTTGATTTAATTCGAAGAAGATTTTGATCTTCTTGGGTTTGTTTGATTTGAAGAAGATTTTGATCTTCTTCGTATTTGCCGACCTCGGAGTCAAGAAGATTTCTTCTCTTCCTTCGGCTTTGGGATTTCTTCAACACTTCGTGATTTTCTTTTTCACTTTTTGCCCCCCTTTTGCAATGAACATTTGACACTATTTATAGGAGAAATTCATGGCCAATTTTGATAATTACTCAATTAATTCAATTAAATTGATTATAATTAAATAATTGTGGATTTTAAAAAAGCAGGGTGGGCATTTAAAATTTTATGGGTTTATCAGATTTTAGTTTAATTGGGCTAATTATTTAAATTGACACAACCCATTATTTATTTATTTTTTTATTATGCCTACAGTCACGATTGCAAAGATACAAATTGTAAGTCACAGTTACAAATTTAGTCATAATCATAAATTTTGTAGGCCACAAATTACTCATTGTCATATTATTTATTGATCATAAATTAACTATTTTATTGGTTATAACCACCCAAAAAATCAGTCACAAACATACCCCGTCCCTCCGCTCCACCAACAAACAAACAACAACAATCGCCACCACCATTAGCAATTGCAAAACAATCACCACAATTTGCAAACAACCAACAACTATCAACAAAAATATCTCGCTAAGCAAATAAAAGGAGAAATCACCCCAAAGCCACGCGTAGTGGTAAGCGCCGCTTAGCGCCACATGCACGCTAGGTCCTAGAGAAGAGAAGGAAAATGAGGAGCATTGGTCGATGCCGGAGAAGAGAAGGAAGATGAGGAGCACTATGCGTGTGTGATTTGGAATCTAAGGGGATATGTATGATTTAGAGAGAGAGGAGAGATGATAGAAAGAAAATTTAATAATATCATTATTAATATTAAAAAGTGAATAATCACTTGATTTTTGAATAAATAAGTTTCAAACCTGATTTGTGAGGTTGATAATGGAAATCCA